GTTGTGGCGGTGGTGGGGGTAGCGGTTCTAAATATAGGCAGACAAGATGAGGAAAAGACACATCAAATTCCTTATCTATCTCGTTTTTTGGCGGTTTCAAAGAGTTTATATTTAAGCCTAAATTTAAATAAGCATTCTCCTATTATCACTGCCAGTTTTAGATTGTCTCACTGACATAATCATCATATTAGCCAACTGTATAGAAACCATAAATTAGATTAAGACTGCATAGATATGCAACCAGGGATTTCTGCTTTTTTGGCTCTTTTTTTTTTTTTTTGTCACTCTATGTTGGAGGTCTCCAGCTGGAAACTCAGGGCTCCCTCTGGGCTCCTTGGCCCACTCAATGTTGAAAAACAAAAACTAAGAAACAGTTGCTGATATTAAAAGGAGATTTTTGTGTAGAAACTTGAATTTCTTGCTTCCTTTGAAATATCAGATCTCTTAAAAGATCTAAGGTTTTTATCTTCACCTGTGAGAAGCAACTGCCCCTTTTACAAACATTTTTTTGGGGAGACGGGGTTTCACTCTGTCACCCAGGCTAGTGTGCAATGACAAGAGCACAACTCACTGCCATCTCAAACTGCTGGGCTCATGCAATCCTCCTGCTTCAGCCTCCTGAGTAGCTGGGGATGCAGACGTGCACCAACAGACTCGGCTAATTTTTAAATATTTTTTGTAGAGATGGGGTCTCGCTATGTTGCTCAGGCTGGTCTCAAACTCCTGGCCTCAGGCAATCCTCCTGCCTCTGCCTCCCAAAGTGCTGGGATTACAGGTGTGAGCCACTGCACCTGGCTGCAGCTGTTCATTTTTATCATGGTTTCCACCACTCTCTTTGTCTCCCCACCTCAGAACCTGAGTCAGGGGTAATTTATCCTAATAACAGTGCCCTGATTATGCCAGCTTGCCTCACGCCTGTGTCTGCCCTGTCGTTATAGGCATTTAAGTTTGTGGCCTGGCTGTGCACATTATACCTGGATATCTCATCAATTACAATTATTTCCACCTATTGTACTTTAGATAGTTCTACCTATTGGACATTTTCAATTCAGTCTGTCTCCCTAAAGCATATTGTTGGATTCAACATAAACTATGACTACATCAATTGCATGATATGATATGATAAATGAGGAGTATTTTTGCTTACGTTGGTCAATGTCGCTTTATAGATTCCTTGTTAAGAAGTATCTTTTAGAAGTTAGTGCCAAGAAAAAGAAAAGATTTTCTCTCTGGAATGATTTGTATAACTTATAGTCTTTCTCTTTTTTTTCCTGGCTACTAAAAAGTTCAGAACTCAATGTGTCATAATCCTGGTAGTATTTTTCCTCTTACTTTGTGTGTTCCTCTTTCTCTATTTATAATATTAATACTCACTATTAAAGTGAACTCACACATAGTCCTATTCCACAAACAACTTTCAACTCTTCTGTGAAAAATTGAATTCAAAACATCAATATAGAAGTGTTATGAATGTGTCAACGTCATCTTCCACTCTGACAACAGATTTGTATCTATAAAATATGAATTGGGCCATACCATTATTTCCTTGCTTATTCAAGGATTGGACATGTCTTCCTTTCACATATAAGAAATCTAATTGTCTAGTAGAATACCCAAGACTCTTTATCACCTTTCTCCAACTTACCTTCCCATCCATAACATTCTCGTCTTCTACCCTTCAAAGCCTATATCTACGTGATGAACTAATAATAGTTCTCCAAATGTACCATTTCATTTCCCATCTCTTTCTTTTATAATATCATTCATTCCACTGATAATCAGTCTAGTATTTTACAGGTAAGTCTTCCACAATAAATATTACATTGTACGGCCATTTTTAATGAAATTAATGACTACTCTTATTCATTTTGGTCTATCAGGTAGTAAACTCAATCTTTTGTATAAAATTATGCTCATTAACTAATTATTTAGCTACATTTTGATTTGCTGAGATTTTTTTCTAGAATTGAAATAACTGATAGAGGGTATATTTTGACTACAAATAGTGTAGAATTTTAAAAGATAATTAATGAATGCTTACTCTATGCCAAGTTCTCTTCTAAATCCATAAAATGTATTTATTCACTCAATCATCCCAACTTCCTTATTATCCTATTATTTTTGTCCTTGTTTTAATGATGAGGAGACTGAAGCCCAGAGACATTAAGTAATTTAAGTAAGTTTCCCCAAGGACACACAGCTAGTAAGGAGTGGGGCCAGCATTGAATCCCGAGGTCTGACTCCACATGATGTTCATCTGTTCCATTGCCTCCCATTTCCATGTTGAAAGTATATTTATCACTTATGACACCAAATAAATAGTAACTAACCGCAGCTTTCATTGGTTCCATCTGTTCTCCATAGGATGCTGGGATTTTGTGGGGCTCCAATATTTGAGTAACAGATTCTTAAAGTTCTTAAAAAATCTTGAGAAAATGTATTAGACAATAATATCTTTGAATGTAGCATGTGCGTATGTGTGCATGCACATTAATTACTTAGCCAATAATAAAGAAGGCTGAAAATGCACAAGTCCCCACTATCACAAGCAACTGAAGGCAATTGTCCTCATTTGTGGAAAACAGAAAGAATCACGTATCTGTGAAGTCACAAGCACAGCTCACAGAAAGGGGCTGTGGAATTGACTTCCTGAGAGTCCTAGGATAGAAGTATTTTATCTGAAAAGGTGTAGTAGTGTGTCAGAGTCCTTAAGGTATCCACTGAGAATAAATTACTTCCTCCACATCAAGAGTCTTCATCCTCTTTTATAATCAGCTTAGTCAATTCAGAGTGGAGACAGTAGTTCCTAATTTACTAACAATGGCGCAAGCAACATCCACCATGTTTTGTACATCATGGCAGTGGTGATCTGAGAAGAACTAGGGTTAGACTACCCTATGGACCTACATTTCCAAAGCTGGAGGCCCTGGCATCTGTAGATAAAGGATGGGCATCAGTGATCCCCTGGCTAACATGAGTCAGGCTCTGGGCAGGGACCTGATGCCCCAGAAGGCAGGTGCCAGCTCCTCCAACCTCCACCAAGTGACCTCCCAGCCTGCTCCTACCAGCCTACTTCTAGCTGGTTTTGAGATAGGTTTTATCTAGTTAACAATATGCTTGGGTGCCTTGGCCTCTCTCAATAAAAAGACAAGTGACATGTGAATGTCTAATCTTTTTGGCCTAGAAGGTATAGTTTCAACCAATATATTTATTAGTTTCTTGGGGAGAAGCCAGATTTATAGCATTCCATTTCATTTTATTCTCCAGAAACACGTGAACGTGAACATTTTCAGCCTTTTCTCTGAGGCATGGCCTATGCATTGACTCAGTGAGACTATTGTTTATTAGCGAGAGAAATAACAGAAGGGTATCTGGCCTTCTGCTTAGTGGAAGACCAGAACTTTATTGGGTGGGATTTTACTCCAATCTGAGGTCACATAATCTAGAAGAAATAAAGATTTACATAAATTGCTCTGAGAGGGGGCTACATCTGTCTTTTGGCTATTTTAACCTCATCACATTGACCACTAAATCTGAGATCTTTGTCATGAAGAGCATGTGCCATTAACAAAACATGTTCCCCTTGGAAAACTATGAACTCAGTGAATTAAAGTTATGGAGCACAACAAATAAATTGTATCCTGCAAAAAATACCACTTGGTAATTCACACACTTAAGGGAAATATTGAAAGAAATTTTCTACATGCAATTATGTCACATTCTTATTACAGTCAGTATAAATTCAACTCTTAATGTTTTGCCCCTAAAGAGTGTGTTTTTCAGGATGTTTATACAACATTTTTTAAAAAGAAAAACAAGAATTGTTGTTTTCTTCAATGATAAAATCTAAGAAGGAGAACTGAAAACCTTGTGTATGTTTTTTTGAGCATGGTGATAGTTTTAAATAGATCAGTGACAAAGTCCGATTTTGCATCTATATCTCATATATGTATAGAATAGCATAGTGTTCAGCCTATTTAAAATAGCCACAAAAACTAATTAGGTGTCTTCCATGGTATAGGAAGGTTGAATATTAAAATTATTTTTAACAGAGAGTTATCAGAAATACAGATGTAGATGTCACCCTTATAATTTTTATTAATATGAATGGCATTAGATTTATTACTATTACTTCCAAAGTAAGAGTTTTTAGAAGTATATAAAAATAATCTATGAATATTTGCAATATTAATGATAATTGTAAAGTAGAAAGCTTCGTTCTACTCATCAGTCAATATGGACCATGGTGTTCAGCCTAATCGGATTTAGTATACTATACTCTTTCCAAAAGAGTGGTTGGGTGGCTGGGTGGTTTTCAGAAAGAGAAGCTTTTGATGTTTATCTTCAAGAGTTCCAGTGTGGCTCCACACCACGGAAGTAGGCAGTTATTTTCAGCTGCTGTCACTATGACCAGCTAACAGGACACCTGGCCTCAGCTGCTTGTACGACAAGAGCTCTAGTGGCTATGCTTTGTGCCAGCCGATTGTCATGGCTTTCGTTAGAGGTTTCAGTTTGTTTCTTTGTAGATAAAATGTATCACCCTATAATATCAGTGATCCAAGTAACAACTGGCAACTCTTAGGGGATCATATAATTATTTCTATGAAAATATATAAAATCATAAATATCTTCAATATATTTTATTTTTGTTTACTTTATCATGAATATTCCATGCTTCTTTAATGTTCCCTCTCTGATTATACTCCGGCTGGACTGTATTCTGTGTAAGTGAAACTACTGAGTTTGCTCACATCTTCGATTTTCTTATTAAAGGGCATCTATACTTTACCTATATGTATTCCAAATAGCAGATTCTTCTTAATTCATTGTATACTAAAAAAACGACGGACAATTATTGCATGCAGGAAGAGGTATATCTCGTCATCCCTGCCAAAGAGCTGACTCTTTCACCATGTGTGAGTTTCTAGAAAATGAATAAAAAGCACAGCGAAAGTCCAGTTCCTTCTTCTGATTTTCATCTCTTTCTTTTCTCTCCATAGGAACTTTTTACCCCTGAATGCAAGTTTAAAGAATCTGTTTTTGAAAATTATTATGTAATCTACTCATCCATGCTGTACAGACAACAGGAATCTGGAAGAGCCTGGTTTTTGGGATTAAATAAAGAAGGGCAAGCTATGAAAGGGAACAGAGTAAAGAAAACCAAACCAGCAGCTCATTTTCTACCCAAGCCATTGGAAGGTGAGTGTTATGTGTGCACTATCCTTATCAGACTTATTATACTTTTCAGTTTTCAAGTCGATACGTCTACAATAGCTACAAGGAACCCTGACAGAGTGCTACAAGTGTCCTTTGTCTTGACCTGGGGGATGGATGCACAGATGTCTACTCAAGCTGTTCATTTAGGATTTGTGCCTTTTATATACTTTGTGTGTGTGTGTGTGTGTGTGTGTGTACCTGGACAAACTTTTTCTCTTCCCACCTTTCAACATCTCAAATCCTCACTGCCTCAACCACTCTAACCCTTTGATAATTCTAATTAATGAAAAAAAAATTAAAATCTGTAAGGATATTATAAATCTATGATAATAAGTATATTAGAAAAAAATAAGTTTTGAGTATGGAATAAAAAGTATTTGCCCAATTTGATGTTCTCTAGGTGAAAGTACACACATATAAATTGTTATAATTATATCAAATGAAGAGATAATAACTTGACTCTTAAGGAACCTGTTGCCATTATATATCACCTTCCAAACCACATAGTTCTTCACTGAATGCAGTTGTGGCACTACCTTCTTTTACTAAAATAATTTATCTACATATACATGTAAACAATGAAGCCTTCACATTTACTTTGATCAGATTCCCAAGGAGCAGGCTACAAAGATCGTTAATCAGAAATATCCACATCTTTCTCATTAGTGATTTTGCCGGAAGTGTCATTTACTTTTATCTATGTAATATTTATTTGAGAATGGAAAAAAAATCAATTTTGAGGCTATTCACATGTGTTCTCTGTTCAAATACTTTTGTTTCCTCTTTTGCAAAAGATCATATCTATAATAACTGCTAGCATAGTTCAGTTTTCTTTTTGTTTTTTATTCCTACAGAAAAGCCTTAGCCATCAAGAGAAAATGCATGTTGGTTTCATAATCCATATTGTCTGTGTAGAAATAAGATAATTTGAAATTTTTCATTATCTGTCAGTGTATAATTTTCAGTTTGCCTAAATTTGGAAAATGACTCTTGTTCGTTAATACAACCTTTATATAATAACTTCAGTAATGTTGACTTACTATTACTCTTAATAATATTTGCCTCTAGAACAATTTATTGAACCTCAAACACTTAGCCACCAGGACCTATGTAAAAAATGACAAATTATTACAGAGTCTGAAATATGAGGGAATTATTCTCATTATGTGGTAAATCATAAGGAAAATTAGAGTAAAAGACATTAGAGGATTTCTCTGTTCTTCCCAATAACACATCCATGATATGATTTTAATAATTTAAATGAATTTTGATACTGTCAGACTCACCAATATTTAAATTCAAATGAAAAATAAAAAACTAAGTTCATAGCAGCTCTACAAAGACCATGGTTTATTTGCTACCTTGCTTTGCCTATTTGACTAACTTTATGTTTTGAGTATAGACAGTTAAGAATTGACTAAACTTCTAAAATCTTACCTTAGCTGCATAAATGTAATGAAAACCAAAAGGGCCTTTATGCTACTTAACTAAGGTAAAATTTGTAAACCACTTCTTTTGTATATCCCTTGGGAAGTATCTGAGACTCTAATGGTGTGGTATGATAATGATACTTTTGGTCTCTGAATCATGTGTTGAACTTTTGTGTGTATGTGAGTGTGTGTATTTATATATGAGGAAAAGAGAAACAGTATTTTCATCATATTTTCAAATAATTAGCAGACAGAAGTACTCCCAAAACAAGGGCGTAGGTGCTATATTGATAAAGGTTACCACGTTTTTTACTTGATACAGGAAAATTAATTTCAAACTTTCAAAACCCATACAGGATATAAATTATATCATTGGAAAAGTTAGGACAAATTAGGTACTTGGTTTAGTTATTGATATTCCAGGGCATTCATATCTCTTCTATATATAGATAAGCAAGATCAATGCTTTGATCCTATTGTCTCCTAATTTAAGTAGTAGAAAGAGTGAGAGATTGGCATGTGCTTCAAGGATATAATCCGTTCCTTTTACTACCTTGCCAAATCATTTACTATAGGCCCGATACATAGTTGTACTTTCAAGTATGTGTACTTCAAATGGTGCATTGATGTAAACGGTAATATTCTACCACCCTGAACACAGAAAATGCATATGATACTTCATCCTAAGTAAACTAAAGGGCTCTTCATAAAATACCTTAAACTTGCAAAAACTTATAAAGGAGTTTGGGCAGCTCTAATGCTCTGGCATTTCTAATGGCAGATAACTTTAACTCACTGGTTTCCCCCAACCACTTGTAACTCTGGCATGCCCTTTCCCAGCATTTCCAAAATCATTTTCCAAAGAGTTACATGAACTATTGTGATTACATCACCAGATTCTATACAGAGAAGTCCTCAAAGTTTACTCAGGCATCAGTCTCAGTTGCTGCCCTGCCATTCTGTGTTTCTGCTGCTTTTTAATAATGTACCAGAAAATGAGGCACAAAAAATATAAAATCCCACATAGTTGCCTTCAGTTGTTCAAGGCTCTCTTTCCATGTCTGCAGGAGAGAAAATCAAAACAATGATAAGAAAGCTGAGACAATGATCTCCAGAAGGCCCTGGCTTAAAGGAAGCGAGTTCTTTGTTATTGTTTGTGTAAATCTGAAATCTGGGTTTTCCTTTCTGTACAACTAGGATTAGGTTAATGCTTGCCATTTCCTTCTAGTTCCTATGTGTGCACATGTGTGTGTGTGTGACATTGTAGTTCCACGAAGAGGCCATAGCTCTTGTAGAAACTTTCTTTCCTAGACAAAAATCCATGTCACCCATGTACATAATTTAGGTATGTAAATCAGAGAATGTGGAGGAAGTAATATCCTGTCTGTGGGTTGGAAATTACCACTTTAAAGTAGGAATCCCCTGTCAATAGTATTGCTTTACTTCAGGGAAAACAGAAATGGGCCAGATGCTGAGAGAAATGGGCCAGCTGCATGTGTGGATGGGCTATTCTTGCACCTAACCAGGCAATGTTTCCCTTCCCTCCTTTCTTCCCATCGCTAGTTGCCATGTACCGAGAACCATCCTTGCATGATGTTGGCGAAACGGTCCCGAAGCCTGGGGTGACGCCAAGTAAAAGCACAAGTGCGTCTGCCATCATGAACGGAGGCAAACCAGTCAACAAGAGTAAGACGACATAGCCAGATCCTCACAGGTGTTGTGACTTATTCGTCCTGAGCACAGTTGAGTGATTTATCCCTACCGGACACTCCTGCTCCCGCGGCCGAAGAGCAGCTGGCAGCAAGCTGAGGCTTGCTCTCTGCTGTCTCCGAACTTCTTTGTTGCAAGTGGATAAATCTCAATCTGTTGCACCCCCCACAACAAGAAGACACCTGGATAACCAGCTAAACTCAGACCATGGAATGCCCTACCAGATATGGAATGCCTTTTTAATATCTTTTCTGTGACTGTGACACTTCATGTGAATGACATACTTCACAAGTACACTCGATACCTTGCCTGCTGACAGCTACCCATAATCCTTTTTGAGTCCTGTTTCAGCGAAATCCATGTGTTTAAGTTCGATTTTGTAGCACACAAATAATATTGAGTAAATTTCTAGTTAGACGCTGTAAACCTGTGCTATTATGGATTTCTCTTCTTCCCATTTTTACAGGGCTGCTTGCTCCACTGTCTGTGACCTTTTTGCAGGGATTGTGTTCCTCTAAATCTTCAATGTTGCAGTTGGCTTAGTTGGGAGAGCAATCAGGGAATCAGGAAGCCTTCTAAATCTATTATTATAAATCGCATCTATAAAGATTAAGATTGTTGTCTCTGGCTCACACTATCGATTAAACACACATATACGCTCTATCCAGTAGCAGATACTGTGCTCCTGAGGTTGGCATTGCCTGGGTGGGAAAAGGGTCAAACACAATCCATGGGAAGCTCTCTATGATACGTGTTTGACATCCCCCTATAGTTTCTTTGTGTGTGTGTGTTTTATACATATCACAAGCTTACTGGTAATGGTAACATTTGCCTTGCCCAGCGAGCAAGACCCACTGGTTTTTGAGAAAGTGGGTCCAAAGAATTCTGTAGGCCTTGTAGGCCTGATTAAGGTTCATTTTTCATCTATTAATTCTCATTATTTGGAAAAAAAAAAGAGAGAGAGAGAAACCACTAATTACAACCCACAAGAATTGCGCTACCTAAGTCCATTTCAGATATACTCCTTCCTGTTTTTAATGAACCAAACTCAATGCCACCCCCGTTTTGGGCTGCGTTCCACTCATACTCAGCAGAGCATGGGCAAGGCGGCTGTTGTGTTCTTTTCTGCAGCAGCAATGCAAACGTTAGTTATAAATTAGACTTTAATATTTTTGGTGTTTAATGACAAGTTTTTAAACTGGACATATTAGGAAAAAATATTTTTTTTAGCTCAGCATGCTGAGTCCGGTACTGTGTATCTCACCAGTACATACCCCTAACTCAGCGATTTGGGCCCCGTGTTGCCCAATGGCCGGGTTAGAGGTGCCTTGCCATGATCTCAGAATACAGTCTGTTGAATTATCCTAGATACAAATAAAGGCAAACCAACACATTCAAACATCAAGATTTGGGTCCATTCAATGCATTCGCTTTTGTTTCCTTTTGCATTCTTCATTTCCTTTCTAATTTAATACTGCTTAAACTCTGAGCTTAGGGAAAGACAACTACTAAGAAAGGCCATGAATAGTTGATTACATAGTGAAGATTCCATGCAAAATGTTCATTATTGGATATAAAGAGTTTCAAAATGTTTAATACTAAATGGTTTGGAAATATATTTGGTAACTCTGTGTACACCTAATAAAATTCAATGTTTTCTTCTCAGAAGAGTTATTTGAGACCAAACTGAACCTCATTTATAGAAAACCATATGTGGGATCAATGTACTGGCCTCTTGTTATTATTTCTATGTGGAAGGATGACCCAGTTGCCATTTTTCCCCATCTGCACTGTATTTATTGGGAAATTATTTTGTCACTGCTTTCATAAATCTCCATGACAGCCCTTGCCCAGCATTAAAAAATTTTGGCCTGCTTAGCTGATTAAAGGTTTAGTATAAATTTACCTGTTTATGCTTATTTCATTTTCATATTGGATTCCACTTGAATAAATAAAAAGTTAGCATAACGTTTGAGTAGATTTATTGTCAATGATGCTAAATTACAAATACAACGAAATGATTCTTTTGACCATTCTCGATTTGGTGTTACGCCATTTTAAGCCTATTGCTTTTAACAGGATAAGTTAAAATACATGAATTCCATTAACTAATTGTTTAGGGAAGACATATACCCCATAATATGTGGCAGACTATTAATATGAATAATTTACTGGTAAAACCAATGGGCTTCTAGACACTGCTTACACCAATACACACACACACACAGACATACTCACCTTTACCAACAGCCCCTTCCTATTTGTTTCTGATAACCAGCTCTACTTGCTGGTTTCTTTTCCCCCTGCAAGCTTGTTTATTGTTTAAATTAAAACAAAATTTATTTTTGTAAATGACAGACTTATGTAAATGTGCACCTCTGTTTTGTTTTTTATATGGGTTGTCTATAAGGGCATTTATCCCTATGAATGGATGTCAAAATACTCTCTTCTAATATATGTTTAGATATATTGCAGAGGGGTCCTTGTTGTTTGTAATTTAGTTAGGTCATTTATTTTGTGTCTGGTCTCACCTGTTGCATGGGAAGAGGACAGCACTGATGAACTGCATGCAGTAGGACCTGTATATCAAGAACTGTTGGTATGTATTACTCAATTTGCATACAAAGAGTTTGTCTGCATTGTACAGTTTATGTGTTTAATATCATTTGTTGTATTTACAAATACAACATTTTGAATAAAATATTTATATGAAGGCATATTAAAAATCATCAACAAACTTTATGTAACAAAATGGCATTGCATCACCCACAAATATAGAAAAATGTCATGTAAATAAGTTGGTAAATTCAATTTCCCCCTTTACCATGCCAAAGAAAATTTTAGCTCTTTGATGATACCTCTCTTGCTATTCTTCCGGGATAAGACTTCACCATTTTTTCTTTCCTCAGAAATTAAGTTTGCTGTTATTAAGTAAGTGCAATCTGTCACTCTTGATGTTCTGTATAGTAAATCTGATGGAATTCATTTGTATTTATAGACTGTGTGTTTTGTACCCTTATGTGCATATGTCCATTGTCTATAATATCTCATTCCTTCTGCATGCATATCTGGTACGGGAGGGTTATTTCTACTGATTTGTTATGGTAGCTGATTGCTTGGCCAATCCTTCAACAATGCTCAGAAATGTTAATTGTTTTGATATTTCAAGAGACATCCTTTTTGTTTTCTAATGAGTTTACATTCTAAAACATTTTGCTACCACTTTACTTGGAAAAATTATAGAAGACATGCAAATTGTCCACCCTATGTAAAGAGCAAAATGGAACTGAGCACTATTTCATTATGAATCCTGGAGATTCCTCCTGTTCCAGTCTTTCTAATTCTTTGCCTCTTGGAGAGTAAACAGAGTTTCTTTATCATACCTGACCACTTTCTTAATTAATACTGAAAGTACTAAAATGGCTGTTTTTTCAGGATGACCAATATCAGAGTTGGTTCTCTTTAAAAAACAACAACAACAAAAGAACAAAAACTTCTTGCTCTTTAAGTTAGGCATGGATCACTTCATTTAAAATTGTAACCCTAATATTACAGGGATAGTTAATATTTGATAATTCCCTAACAAGAAACCAGATTGACTAAGATCCAATTTAGAAGAAGATAAAAAGAATTGGAAATTATTTTCAATTTCACTTCATCGCAAGGCTATATCAAGGGATAGCAATTGAACTAAATGCTTAATTATTTTTCAAAATATGGGCGTATCAAAATCTAGAATGTAAATTGTGTTGCTTTGAAGTAACATACATTTCATAGCTGAGGTTTCTAAGCTTATAAGGTGACACATAGGGCCTGTTGGCTCTCTTGAATACCAAGGGTTTCAAAGTTTTGACAGTTGACTCTGCAAACTAAGGCTGAGTTTTATACATATATATATATTTTTTTCTTTTTTCTTGATTTTCACTCATCTAATTCCGGTGTCTGTCAGAGATGGTATTTGCATTTGAGATGGTAGAGGCCATTCCTTCCAATTAGCTGCTGGAATCCAGATAAGCTCAAGGAGCCCAGAAAAGCAATGGGTGTAGTGATTCTCCTCATATGTCTTAGGACTTTGGTTGACTTTTTTGGAAAAGTCCTTGTGGAGGAATTCCTCAGTGCTGGATTGCCAAACAAGCAGGGCTAGTGTTGACACTATCTGAAAACCTGTGGCATCCCTTCCAATTGACATTAATCCCTCTGCAACTTCCTAAAAACATGAACAAACCTATGAGATTTGCTTATTTTCTTTCCCACCCGTTACAAGTTTGCTTTTGCTCTGCTTGTTATTTAGAGTGAGTTTGTATTTTAGAGTCTAAGGTTAAAGTACAAAATCACATTTAAGAAGGTTAGAATTTATGTCTGTACACGTGACCACGTTAATTTTATCTTTTCCAATCTGAAAAGTATAAATTCAATCACATCTTAATAAATATATTGATCTCTGTATCACTGCAGTCAAAACTACACACACACACACACACACACACACACAATTATAACAGATGGAAAGAAGTACAAGTAAACTATTTGTTTTCAAAGAAAAAGCATTCCTTAGAGTTTCGATACTATGTGACTTATGCTATAATTAAGTTGTGGTTCTATAATTTGTCACGAAATGAACCCCAGAACATAGCTGACTCTAACATATTTTCACCTTTGTCCAAAAATTTAGACAAATCACATTTTGAACTTTATGGTTTAATAATTTCTCCAGTATCTAAACTTTTTTTCCTAGAAAACTTGAATGCTGAGGACATTTCTGACACTTCTGTGGAAATATAAAAAAGATCTGTATGTTGGTTGTAGTTTTTGTTAATGAAAAGAGGTAACGACATATAGAGACTTGAAAACAAAATAAGCCACATCTGAGGTTATAGGAGGAGTCCTAGGGAATTCAGGGCAGCTCCTGGGGCACAGAAGGTAGCAAACTGCTCTTCAGCCACAAGCCAAACCCAACCTCCCATCTGGCTTGGTGTGGCCTGGGAGCTCAAAAATGAATTTTTAGTTTTTTCACAGTTGTAAAGTATTAAACACAAAGAAACAAAGAAGAATGTAAGACAGAGACATATATGGCCCACAAAGTCTAAAATATTTACTATCTGGTCCTTTATAGAAAGCCAAGCACTGTGATACAGTAATCTGAAGGTCACTTGTATTATGATGGCTAGAAATGGTAATGAATTCCAATGCCTGTACATCATCAAATAAGTCATCAAAATTGCTGCTGAACAATTACAATAGGTTATTCCGAGGCTTCAAATGTTTAGATAGAGAAGAAAAAAGAATATAATCTATGTCATTTCTTGGCTACTTACATTTCCCTCATTTTACAAAACGGATAGATCCATTTACATACTCAACAATAGAGATACAATTAATATGGTTGCACTCCTTAATCTCAGGATAGAGATAACAGTTTTATAAATCTATTAAATTATGAGAACATTATTAGTACTATAAAAATCAGCACCAGTTAACTTTTCTCTTAAAATAATTTTCAATATTATATTTTTAAGTAACTCAGCAGATGCATATTTATTTTTGGTGATTTGACTTAAAAAGTCCAAGCCATGACTCTAGAATATGTACATCATTAAAATAAAATTTCCAAGTAAAAATTTGCATCTTAAATTAATATGGAAATGATTTTGCTACATTATTCTAGGATTTTACAAAACAATTCACATTTAGGAAAAAAGTGGGTTTTTTTTAAGCTCTAAATAATTAAAGGTTGTCTAAACTAATGTGTTTAAGTAGATTTACCTGTAAATATGTAAGGGAAGTCCCAATTATTGTACAATTTCATAATCCAATGTGAATTTCATACAGAGCAAAGTTTCACCATTAAAAAAATAAACATTTTGTTCCTATCACTGAGTGAATATTTGAAATTTATATTTAAGCCATTTCTAGATATTTTGGTCCTTTTCTGAGCTTTTGAGATTGGTGCCACTTTATTGCAGTATCTCTCCTTGACTTCTTTCATGACCCCACTTTTCCAGTAAGGTATCCTCAGAAGATAGAAAGTTATTTAAGAGGAATGAATGCATTTCAGGCCCATCAGATATCTAACTAGATATTGTCTTTTTAAAAGGCCATGAAATAAATTAATTAATCAAAAATCAGATTTCTTTTATATGTAACCTCTGTCTAGTCTTAAAAATATGATCCCTTAGTTCTAGGACCCTAAAATGCATATCCCTGACTAGCAATTCATTTTTTTTGTTAATTATCAGTAGGTAAATATATATTGACACAAAGTATAAACAACTTCTGTCACTATTTATTAAAAATGTTTAAATTGTACATTTTTCATAATTTCTTCCTTTATCTTAAGATAATCTTTTTGCAAGTTTAAAGTGAGATTAGACAAATGACTTTATGGCTAAAAATGACCAGCCTCTTCCCTTGATCCACACCCAACCTGACATTATACCTCATAGGTGTTATCTTCACTGTTCCCGTAGAGAGATGCTGAGTGACAGTGAATTCTGGAAAAATTTCATTGATTGATTTATGTTAAATGTATCTTTTCCTTAGATTCTAATATAGTCCTTCTTGTATAGGAATGTGAATTTTTAACAACTGTGTAATACAGTGTTTCTCAACTCTAGCACTATTGACACTTGGAATCACACATTCCTTTGTCACAGGGGCACCCTGTGCACAGCAGGATGTTCAAAGCATCCCTGGCCTCTACCCGTTAGATGCCTGTACCCCACCCTCCCACCCCACCCAGTGTGGCAATCAAAATTGCTGGTAGATAGACATTGCCAAATGTCTTTTGGATGGCAAAATTACCCTCGTGGAGAACCACTCATGTTTATTATAGAAGAAAAAGTCTTTTTAGTGTTATTTATAACAGAGTTTGCTTAACTCATTTGTAATGAGTTCCCAGATTTCATTCAGGCATTCAGAAATAGAAAAACGTACAATGGTCTGCTGAACCTGTCCTAGTGGTGATTATACATGGTTTCCTTTGCATTTATATGTTCTAACGGCCTAGAAAAGTAAGGATCCAGTCCTCTCCCAAGTGACTGTTAAGGATATTCTGTGCCAAGCCAGATTTCACATGCATTTCCATTCCATCCATCCCAGCATTCACAGTTTCCACAGCTACATATTCCATTCCCTGCAATAAAATACACATGGGAATCATTATCGTGATTGAAATGCACCAAGTTTAAATACGCTGTTATAAAGTCTAAGTGTCCATAATAAAACCATTTCATTCATCCTTGGTAGATTTTCTTATTGTGCAGTGATCCTGTTGTTACATCTCCTTAAGCTGTGAGAAATCTAATCTTTCCAACAATTAATGGCATTTATTTGGTGCCACCATCTACAGATCAGATAGTAACCATCCTGTAGGACTCCGGTGGGCCGTCCCTGTCATGTCTTTGTTTTCTTTTGGGGAGCAAGTTATTTCTGACTCATGAATAAATACTGAAAAACATAAAGCTCCTTGACATAATCAGAGGCAGGCCAATTAATTAGCTAGAAGAGCAGTCTTGCATAGTAGGGATGGACAGAAAGCAACTGTCTGACTTAATGACACACACAAATATTCATATTTTACCTTCAAGTAGAATGAGGAGAGCAAATGTACATGCCTCGATTTCCCCTACAACTCGGGCAAGCAAATATATTTTATAACCACCTATCAAGACTCAATAAATAAGGATAGCAGTGGCTACTGAACTGCTGAGCCTCTTTTATACCCTGCCCCCACTCCTCTCCTGCATATATACACACAGCCATTTCCCTGAAAACAGCCAACACATCAACTAGCAGTACCTGGATCCTGCTTAAAAATATTCCACTCCCTACACCATGTTCAAACTAAAATGATTGCCAAGAGAATTCTTTGCTCTTTTCAATATACAACTGCATATGCGAGATTCTGAGGGGCAGATTACCTTGTGGAAGTTTCCCAATAATTGTCTAATTTAGCTTCATGCTTTTGTATTCTTCTACGCCTGGGAATAATGCTAGTGCTGACTCCCAAGCCCACCTCCCCTTTCACAGTTACTTCATATTATCAGTTGACCCTTGATTATACAAAAGCCACCATGTCCAACCACCTAAAGCATTGTGTGATGGATGTCATTTGGCTCTATTGCAAACTGTGGCACAGAACAATTAGAGTAGGTCGA